ACTTCATAACAGGGCATTTCAACTGTCACTTCAAAAACTGTGAACACAAACTGCTTTTCTAAACATCCAAGATAGCTCTTAAAGCTATAGAAACAGTATCTATAAGGGCAGCTAGATGGTCCAGTAGGTAGAGCACCAGACCTGGAGTCAGGAAGATCTGAGTTCTAATTCAGCCTCAGACACTTACTAGCTGTGTGACCCTGGGCAAATCACTTAACACCTATTTGCCTCAGTTCCTCATCTGTAAAATGGGGACACAGTGGAAAAGGAAGGGGCAAGCCACTCCAGTATCTTTGCCAAGAAAAACCCCATGGAAAAAACTCCATGGGACCCATAGAGTTGACATGACTGAGTAACAATAACAACAACAGTATTTGCATTCTCTGTGAGATAAATATTTGGAATAGGGGTTACAGTTAGTATCAAGTAGACTAATATCATTGAATAAGCCCATATTTCAGTAAAGCTTTTAAGTCTCTTCCAGTAATTGGCCTCAGGGACTTTGACACTCAAAATAGTCAAATGTATTGTGACTTCATTGATTTAGGAGTGTGTTCCACGGATACAGACCACAACTCATTCAGGTCTGCCTGACCTGTGCAACTCTTGTTCACGTTCTCCCATAAGTTTGCCACTGTAGGTCTACCCAACTGGCTGGAAGCCTCCCTCACTTTCTCTTGACATGACAAAAATATCAGTGGAGCATACTAATGGTTATCCACTTGCAGATCCATCTTCTTTCTATTATACAATTTCTAAATGACATCTTTTACTCCCATTATTCTTTAAAGTTCCTCATTATGTTGGAGTCTGACCTACCAGATGCATCCCTATTGCCCTCTGTGCAATATTCACTTTTAATTATTCAGAAACTTTTTAATTCTGTATCTTATTGCCTTACAGCAACACCACTAGAATGATGGTATTTAAAGGAGTCTGTGTTTCCATGGAAAGCTTGGTGTCATCTTTACTATTTCTCAAAGAAAATTCAGCCTTCTGCACTCTTCATGCTCTATCCTGGGTCCAATTCATTGTTCATCCAAATATATATTATTATCTAGATAACAGGCATTCTTCATCAACTTGGTCTTTTGTGTGTGGATGGTAAAGCCAAATTCTTTTGAATGGTTTAGATCTCTTCTCCCTAGTATCTTATGGAAAGATTGTATATATAGTCCTCAAGGAACTAAAGCTGTGAAATGAGGGAGCAAGGGATCTAGACTTCACTATATGCTATTACCAGGAGGTGTTTATACTGTTAGGGTCCGATGGGAAACCCAAGGTCATTTTCTTTTTAGGTGAGTCCATGCCTTTAAGGTAGGACCATAAGGCTGAATTTCTGCAAGAATCTTTGTAGTTAAAGTTGGAACTTGTAATATAAATGATATTGAACCCTACGTTCATTTCTCTAATAGAGGAACATAAGACACAGGGTGGTTTTGTGAGTATGGAAGACTTTAGGACCCTGTTAAAAGTGAGACCTACTGGGTGAGGAGTGGGGTAGAGAAAATTATATTGATTGTTTATGGATTCTCCTGAGCACTTTGCATTTTTTTGTAAGTGGAATAAAATCTATACACTGTTATCTTGGGTGCTTTGCAGGATTTGGAAAACTTTTTATCCACATCTGTGGAGACCTAGGCATAATATTCAAGCTATATTCTGAGTCTCTGGGAGGGAATGATATGAGCCAAAGAAAGAATGAATTGGGGATGGCTCCCAAGATTCAATCTAGACTACATAAACCTTAGAGTTGAGAGTGTTGAGCCATGGATTACATACGTAAATAACCATGCTATGAAAGAGTATGATCAATACAAAGGAGAGGTCCAGGAAAAATGCTTTGAGAAATTTGAAAAAGGAAAAAAAATATTTTAATTGGGGCTTGGGAATGGTCTAGAAAGGACTCAGAGATAAGGTGCCAACTCAGTTAATAGTTTATCAGATATTATTATCTGGATTTGGATCACTCAAAGGGCAATGGTGGATTGAATGAACAGATAAAAAAATCTTTTATTAGGCACTATGTGCTAAGCGCTGTGCTCTATTCTGGGGATACAAAAAAAAAAGAGAGCGTCACTGCTCTTTAGAATCTAAGTGACTGACAACAACAGCTTCTTCCCCTCTTCAGCTATGCTTTTAGCAGAACAGAAATTTCAGAGTGTTCTTACATCCCCCCTTACACTATGACCTTGCAGCCACATCCCAATAAAGGTCTGACAGTAGTAACTTCATTGATAGAAGTAGCAGTTTAGTAGTAAACTATTAACTGAATTGCCACCCCACCCCTTGAAGACTTTCTTGACCACCCTCCTCTCCCCAACCAAAGTGACTGCTTCTTTCTCAATTTCCTCATAACACTTTGCCTGGACTTTGCTCCTGTCCTAATTGGGGAGAAACAATACACATCAATCAATCAGTAAACATTTATTAAGCACCTGCTATGTGCCAGACACTGGGAAGATTCTGAAATAGAGTGGATGCAGAGGCTTGATGGTCTTTAGGGTTCAGTAACAAGGTAGAGGGCAAGGCCCAGGAGCCCTCAGGGTGCATCAGCAAAGTAGTTGGTACTTCCCAGGGCCTAGAGGACTCAGAGGCAGGGCAGCTGGTAAGGATTGATAGTCCTTCATCTTACTGGAGGGATTATAGTTGGTGACTCCCAGCTCATTAATACAGGGAGAGTGACACGGTGAGGCTCACAGTATGAGCCATATCTTCCTTGAAACCTATGACTGTTGGGAAAGAGGGAATGGTAGAGGGTTAAGATAGGACTGGGAACTCCAGGATTCCTTCTGAAGGAGTAGAGTTGGAGAGTTGGCATGCTGGGGGGAGGAGACTGAAGACTGGAAGAGGAGGAGAGGTGTCTGCCCTAAGTCCAACACTAATATGGTGAGCCCTGGAGAATAGGGGAACACTAGGTTGCCTAAGGAGGGGGTGAACCAGCCCAGGTTGGAAATGAAGCAAGTCAGAACTTCCATGCTAATCAACAGTAGGATCAGGCTCATGAGTGGTAAGAGAAGTGTAAAGAATGTCATCCCAGAGCTGTGTGACTGGAAAATAAAGTAATCTCATCATGAGACTAGAGCAAGGTGATAACCTATGTTCTCCAGTGACATTCCTGCAATGACAAGAGAGCATTTGCATTCCTGCAATGACAAGAAGGACCAATTGCTGAGAATTTAGGAGAGGGCATGGATAACTGCTCAGGATAAGAGGACAGTGAAGGGAGTGCCCACAGATCTTGGATATCAATTAACACTGAGGAGGATGGAGAGAAGTGCTTAGAAAAAGAGAAATGGCCAAAAGGGGACCACCTTTCCCTTTGCCTGGGTGAGATTGGGGGAATAGGGAGGCCCAAAAGATAAAATACCTTCCTAGTTTTGCCCAGAAACATTGCTGCCCAGAACATACTCTAGATGGTTATTTCCTTGCTTTCTTTTTGAAAACCAAATCCCTGATATGATCTTATTTTCTTGTCATTCACCTTCTTCCTAAAAGTCTAGGAAAAAATGAATAAATAAATAAACAGAATTCAAGTTGATTGAAAGTCCAATTAAATTGTATTTTGGCTAATCCTTTTTTCCCCCCTTTTTCTCTATGGTAGTTGGCAATCGGGCCACCTGCCTCTATTTTGGACTCATTGGTTGTTATGTTAGTAAGAAATAATGGCTGCTCCAAAGATATCTGGGGAGCTCTGCCAATACAACTGACTGGCAGAAAATCTACCTGAGGGGCTGGCAAGAGGAAAGAGGATTCCTCTTGAAGCTTCCAGCAGGGACTGATGGAGTGACTCTAGAGCTTTCTTAATTAATATGCTAGGCACAGTGCAGAAACATGTGAGACCAGAGACACCTAAGAATTTCTGTGCACTATATACTCAAGAGAACTGTGTTCTTATTCCCTGCCTTCCTCACACTCTCTCCCAATTTGCAGAACCCAGTCCTTAAAAAGTAACTCCCATTGGCCACTCAATCAGGAATGCTCAAATGTCCAATAAGGTCATAGTATTTAGCGTATGATTCCTTTGTGCAGAACAATGTAGTACATACTATGAAAAAATGCAAAAGAAATAGAGGACCCTGTTTCCTGTCTTTAAAATTATTTCCAACAAATGGGAAAAGGGTGGGGTTCAGATGAGTCTCTATTCCATTTCTAGGGCTATGTAGTCAGTTACTGCTTGTAACTGATTGTAACTCCAAAGCTCAAAACTGGAAGTAGCAATATTTTAATTTGAGGAAAGTGGAGGATAGGATGGGGGGGTAGGAAGGGAACTCCATGGACATTCCAGGTTTCTACACTGATGAAAGATTGGCTGATGGTGGAAAGAAGTTGGGGTGGGGTGGGATTAGGGTCACAGGGTTTTGGGGTAGGAATAAGCATACCTTGGGGCAACCTGAGGTTTCTATGCTTCTGAACATATAGTCTTAAAGAGGAAGATGTATTCTGGTGAGGTAGGCAAGGGAGGAACGACTTAAGGAAAATGTTGTCAGGACTCTCCAAATTGCTTTGCATCCATTTTATGTTGCATGGCTTGAGGCCCTCTAGGGACTCTGGCTCTCTGGACTCACAGATTAGCGATTTAGTTCCAAGGGGGCCTGACCCCAAAGAAAGGGTACTAGATGTTTCCTCCGACTCTCTGGTTTTTTATATCCCAACGCTGGAGTAGTACTTTGGAGAAAATCTCTAAGAACAAAGTTTAGGTACAGTTCACATCTAGAATCTTTTCCAAAAGGGTCCCATCTAGAAAAGGTATTCAATATAAAAAGGAGATATCAGGTTTAGGACAAATATTTATTTCCCTCATTACAAAATTACAAAATGCAAAAGACTCATAAACTTGAGTTAACAAAAACTTAAAACTGAGGTGAAGACAATTTTATAGGACCGTAGAATACAAATTTCACATATACTTCAGATTCATACTATCCAAACAACTTAAAAATTTATATCTTCTGGCCAGCCAGATATGTCCTTTTAGTTCCTTTAGGTTCTGGAGGATTCTCTTGGTTGTTGTCTTCTCATCTGAGAAATGGTATGGGTGAAAGAACCTTGCTCTAGACAGTCAACACCAACTCAGGAACTCTCAAACTATTGACCTTACTACTAGGGCTGGAAAAGTTCATTTCTTAGGAATCACTGTTCAGTGATCTGGCCTCAGGAGGAAAAAAAAATAGAAAAGGTAGCCAAGGACTTGAGGTTTGGTTTCAGGTTCACTTAGGAAAGCACAAGTATTTCTGTCTTTCTTAGGCATTGTCAACTTAAAACACAGGCTCATTTTTTTCTCATTCTTTATTTAAAAAAAGACCATGACAGCTTCACTCTAGAGGGATGGGTAGCAACAATAACAGTAAAAAGAATTATATGTCCCATTTCTATAGCGCTTTACAATTTACAAAGCACTTTTTCCCAATGATGCCTTGTAGTAGTAAGTTGCAAAACAACCCATAATCCTCCTCCCATAACAGCCCCCACCAAGTTCATTACACCTCAGCCTGACTCCCACCTCCTTCTTCAATCGGTTTCCATGGCAACAGCCAGAGCTCCCTACCCCTCCTCAGCCCCGAGGCCATTGCCCTGGCGCAGCAGGGATCTAGGAGAGGCCAGTGATCTAGGCTAGGTCTCAGATAGCGCTCCCCTCCCCTTCCCTTCTTCCCCGCTCCCTTCGCTCCCGAGCATCGCGCAGCCGCACTGGGATCACTCCTGGACTCGCGACCTACAATCCAGGCCAGGTAGCCCCAGTTCACGGAAGGAGGAGGGGTGGTTGCTAAGGAAACGGGAGGACGCCCAGCAGTCCCGAGTGCCGCCTCCGCCTAGGCCTCCGAGAAGGCCCAGCAGTCGCCGCCGTTTGCAAGCAGCCCTCAGGGGGGAGGAGGACGAAAAAGAGAAGGAGGAGGAGGAGGAGGAGGAGGAGGAGAGGGACTATCCCTTCCCCCCTGCGACTGATGTGCTGTGGACCCCCACCCCCGACACGCCCGAGGTCACTCTGCCCAGCCCCCTCCCCTTAGCCCCTCCGAGTGGAGAAAGCGCAGCATCGCCCAGGTAACCACCCGCTTCGACTGGAAGGCCAGAGTTGGTGTCCCGGCTTTTCGGTTTGACAGGCCTGCCCCAGCCCCATGGTGATTCCGCGCCCCGTCAAGTGGTCGGTTCATAGTTTGCCGGGCGGGGATAGGGCGGTCTGCTTTAGATTGGGCTGGGCCGTTTTCTCCTCTGCCTGGGCAAAGGACTGGCGTGGGGGAGGGGGGAAGGGTCCCCTACTCCTCTCAGCCAATCAGCCTCGCTCCTTCTGGGCTGGGGGGGGCGGTCACTCCGCCCTCTGAGGAGAATGCGAGGCTTCGCGTGGAATCATGGGAACTAGAGTTGGAAGCGGGGGCCCTAAGGTTGGCTCGTGTCAACCTCTCCATTTTCCAGAAGAGGACATCGAGGCTCAGGGTGGGGAAGGGGCTTTCCCGAGGTCACAGGGCCGGTAGAGTAGCAGAGCTAAGGTGCCAAGTGAAATGGAAGTTGTTAAACCTGTTAAGGATGAGGATGAGGATGAGAACACAACACTCAAGATTTAAGTATAGCACAGGGTAGCATATTACCCAAACTGGGGCTGCTTTTGAACTTACTCTCCTGGGGTCAGGGAAGTATAAACATCTCGCAGAAGCTGCTAGTGTGGAATGGCTCCAAATCCAGGGGGTTCCCCCCCCCCACGCCCCTTGCTTCCCTTTCCCTCCCCCCCACTCCAGCTTCTCTTAGGGTTCCTCAAGAGTGATATTTGATAAACCTGAGTTCTGGTTGATTGAAGGGGCATGATGTAGTGTAAAGAGCCCCCGAATTCGAGTGAGAAGTTGTTTGGAAACATAATTCTATAACTTAATCTGTGACTTTGGGTAAGCCATTGAACTTTTCCCGAGCCTCAGTTTCCTCATCTATAAATAAGCCTAGGCTAGACTAAATTACCTCATTGGGCCTTATCAGCTCTATATCTATGAGCTATTTCACGTGTTCTACACTGGCAGCCTTCCCCCTTCTGTAATACTTTGACCTTTTCCCTGACCTTAATGAGAGTATAATGTTTAACAGCACCCCTAACTTGGGAAATATGCCACCCTCTCCTATACTTATCATCCTTGTCCTTAACAGGTTTAACAACCTCCATTTTACTTGGCAGCTTATGTGATACTTTAATTTCACAATTATACACAGTCATCATTCCCACCTTCTGGGTTTGTTGGCAAGTGAACTTACCAGAAAATTACTATGGCTGTTTGAGGTATATTGGTGTAAACTTTGTAGGAGGCATTTCAAATTGGCACTTTTAAAAAAAATCCAATTTTACTGGAAAAGTCAAATGACCCAGTTTTCAGTGTATTCTGCCTGCCTCCCCCAGTATATTTTCAGTTCTTCATTTGAAGTTCCTGGGCACTCAGCATTCACTAGATTGAGCTGTAGAGAGAGGGATGTTAACTTTGTGCCCTACGTCACTAGAATATTTCCTTTGTTTGTATAATACATATTCTGTATATTTGAAAATAGATGATAGCATCAAGTTTCCTGTTATCTTTGTGCAGCTATAGATTACAGAAAAAAGGAAACAAAAAAAATCTGATTTAGTGGCCTTTTGAAATTGTTACTTTGATTTTGTTTCAAAGGAAACCAGGGTTTAAGGGATTTATTAGATTTATACTTCCTTTAGGAGTGCTATTTTATATATGAGAACATAGTAGAAAAGCAGAAGACAAAAACTTTATTTTTTTTAATACCCTCATCATTTCTTCTGAGAAATGTACCCATAGACAAGGGCAGAATATGATTAAAAGGAATATGGAGAACTGAAGGACATTTTGTTGGGCAGATTCTGTATACTTACTGAGAGCACAGGGAATTTAGCACTAGAGAGGGTTACATATGTCATAAAGTTCTTAGAATCATCTTTTATTGAAATTTCATAGGTGTATAGAATATTGAGGATGAGAACAGTCATATGCTCCCTCTTTCAGTTAAGGAAGTACTCCCTGTCCTCTCTCCCCTCCCCTTCCCTTTCCCTTTCCTATTTAGCATGAAGTTGATCACTTCTAGCTCAGTAGTGTCATCAGAGATTGAAAACGATTGTGCCTACTTCAGTGAGGAGATTTTTCAGTTGAAAAACAGTTGAAAAGTGAGGAGTGGAAAGATTACAGAGCTGCTCTTCTGAAAATATAGACCTCTTCTGCATCTTATCAACTTTTTATTTCCCTATCCTTCCATCTTTGCTCAGGATGACTTCAGATGGCCTTTTGGCTGAATAAGACGACAAGAGCTGAGATCAGTGAGTTTACACATTTATCTTCTATGAATACATTTCCAAGCAGTCATTTTGGTTTATTTTCCTACTGAGTAAATTATTCCAACTTTTATGTAGAATGTGAGATTCTAATGATGCTGTAGGAACATTGATAAGGAAATGTTCCTTAAGCTATAATGACTTCCTAACTTCATATCTTTTGTTGTCTGGAGTAGTTGTTTAATCTTACAAAGTATATATATATATACATACATACTCATAGAGGAAGCTGTGGTGTAGTTGATGGAGAGCTGACCCTGGTAGACCTGAGTTCAAGTCTGGTCTCTGACACTTAGTGGCTCTGTGACCCTGGGCAAATCCTCTTGGTGACTCACTCTCTAAGACAAAAAATTGCAGAGAATGTGCTTTGGGAGAAGAAGCTCTTCTGTGGGAGCTCCCTACACTGATGAATCCACAAGACTAATTTTTGAAAGTATGTTGTGTGTGTGTGTGTGTGTGTGTGTGTGTGTATAATTAAATAGAGAAGTGGCTGGACATGGTGATTAAAGATTGGCCTCTAAGAGAGAATTGTGCCTCTAACACAGAGCAGCTCTGTGATCCTGACCCAGGCCCCAGGCAGCTCTCTCAGATTGCAGAGCAGTTGCAGATAGATCTGCTTTGTAACCTTCTACATCCAGAGCTCCCTGCTCCAATGAAATAACAAGTCTGTTTAAATTTAAATATATACATGTATGGGTATGTGTATATGTGTATATGTGTATCCATAGATTTAACTGTATACATACATGTGTGAAAAACTACTTATGGTTTTGTTGTACTTCTAAATATTTTGTAGTCAAATGTGATCAAATGAAGTTGATGGGAAGAAAAAAGACTTTTGTAGACAATTGTGAAGAGCCCTTTATTTGGTAAATGATTGTGAAGTCAGAGATAACCATAAACGATTTGAATAATGTGATTTCTCTCCTCATTGAAAAAAGTTATCGTACTGCTCTTCATTTGGAAGTCTCTTTAAGATAGCTACCACATTAGGAAAGTCACACGTACATTAAGTGGCAGAGTAATTTTTCTATATTTCTTTGATAATTAAAAGAGTAACACTCAACTGGATTTTAAGTTCTGGCTCTCCTTTGTGACTTTTGACATATTTCCATGGGAGTCCTTAACTTTTCTTCTTAATTACTTTTCTGTGACAGGGTTCTCCAACAGTAGTATCACTGTCAAAATACCACTTTCTGTCTACATTTCTGCTACGTACCAAAATGCATAGGTTCAGCAAAGGGGAAAAAAACCAAGAAAGCAACCTACTGTGCAAGTTTACAATCATGTTAAGAATAGAAAGAATTTAAAAAAAATAAAAATTTTAAAATGGAGTCAAAATAGGCTATTAAAATACTTAAGAGACTGGATCAAAAGACTAAATGTCTCTAAATTTTCTTATGGATTGTTGTTTCAGGTGAGGAATCTCAAAAGACCAATTTTCTCATCAGCAGAGGTTTAGGGCTAGATAGATCACAGGTAACATCCTGTAAGGAAGACTATCTCAAGATTCAGTTCTGCTTTTCCCCTACTATGCTTGGTTATAATTCTTACGAGAATTATAATTCTTATTAGATTCTGACTTCAACAGTAGAATAACCATGACAACTCACTATTCAGATTGACAAAACTGGTACCACTCAGTTTTGTTTCCATCCATGCTTGAGATATGTGTTATTTGGGACTGTAACAAGTTTCCAACAGAATAGAGTTAAGTTAGAGTAGAGAGGAAGATGGCAGCTCAGACAAACGCTACCATATAAGTAGGAATATTATAGCTAAGATTATAGCTAAGCCAGAACCCTAAGTAGAATGAGTAGTAAATGATTTAGAGAGTATTAACAGCACCTTAGAGGAGCACTTCTTCCTCTACCCCACTCAATTTCCACACTCAGTGATCCTACACCTTTTGCTGCTGGCATCTTCCCCTGTTGTTCTTCCTACTCTACCCCAGTTATTCCTGGTTGAGTCTTTATCTCCTTGGGATTTGTGCTTTCTTCAGGGTAGAAACCCAAGTTTGTCTCAAGGTGGGCTTCTGACTGCTGCAAATGGTTCATGCTACTCCATCTCCTAGCCCCTGCTGTGGGCACTTTTCCCCCTATAGACTTTAACAGAGATAAGCCCCTTCTTTCACCACTTTGGCCCATGGGAAAATCTTGGCCCTTACTGGTTCTGTTCACAACCATTTAGTTTTCATTGCAATTTTTGAATCAACAGTGGGAAGAAGCAAGCCTATGAGGCTGGGTAGTAGAGGTTTTATTTCCATTTTATAGGTGAGAAAATAAGCTAACAGATTAAGTGATTTGCCCAAGACCACATAGTTGTTTGTCTAAGCCTACCTTTGAACTCAGGTCTCCAAACTCCAAATCCAGTGCTTCATACTGCTTCTCAACTGGAATTAAATTTAATTAGTAAGCAAATGTTTATTGAATTTATACTATGGAGGATATTATAGCCAGAATCTCTGCCTTCAAGAAATGTATAATTCATTGGGGTAGAAAAGACATGTGATAATAATGAGTCAATATATAAATACCAAATACAGTGGTACACAGAATAATTGGTATAGAAGTTTAATGGAGGGAGTGGTCATTATTGGTTGGGGTGGTCAAGGATATCTTTGTGGAGGAGGTAATGTTTGAATTGAACCCTAAACAATGGGTGATATTCAGATAGGTTGAGAAAAGAGGGAAAGGCATTTTAATTTAAGGATGGGGGGACTTGAATTATTGTCATTCTTTATACTTTCTCATGTTTTTTGGTTGTTCAAGCTATCTTTTCATGAAATCATAATAAAATTATTTTCTTATTTTCTTTAGAAACTATTACCCAAAATGCAAACTCTATGTGAGGTCAAACTTGGGCAATTTCAAGAAAATACAAGATTATTAATCCCCTTTTTGCCCTCCAATAAAAAGGAAGTTATGTTTAACTGCAAAAAGAGAGCCAGAATGAAACACATTTTAAATTAAGTTTGAACTCTTAACACCTTTAGGCATAGGTGACTCAATCCAGGTGCCGCTTCAGTTTTGTAGGGCACTGGGAGACTGTAGATATGCAATGCAAATAGCTGCTCCGTACCCCTAGGATTTCCCATAATAGCTTGGTTATTTTTATCTGCCTCTTTTTTTTCACGTGGAGACATAGTTCTGTCCAAATAACTCCTGAATTGCAAAGGGGATTGGAGAGGTATTTATTTTGTAGTTAACAAAGGATAAGATGAAATTTTTGCTTGGTGGATTTAGATTTAGAGTTAAGCCACTGCATAGAAAATCCTGAGGTCTACTCACTTAATCAGCAAGCATTTATTAAGCGCTTAATACTTGCCAAATCCTACTCTAATTCCTGAGGTTACAAAGAAAAAAGTGAAAACAGTTTTTGCCTTCAAGGAGTTATGCCCTTGAGAAGCTTATAGTCTAGTGAGAGCTGCAGCATGTATATATGTTGATGTATAAATACATACGAAGTAGACACTAGGTAGCTTTAAGAGGGGAAAGCAGATGGGGGGACTGAGAAAAACCTCCTCCAGAAGATGGCTTATGCCAAATCAGAGAGCCTGAGATTCTAAAAGGGGTGGGGGGGGTAGATATAGGGGGAGATGCTCTTTCCAAGCATAGGAGAGAGAATCAGTACAGGGTGGTTCACATATGACCTCTTTTTCCGTGTTGTCTGCAGTCAGCCAGCCAGGCCTGGGAAGAAGGGACTGTACTCAGTGAAGTGACTATAGGAATAAGAGAAAACCTTTTCCTTTTTTGTTATACTCCAGATGGGGCTAATTTAAAAAAAATCATTAATGGTTCTGTTTCAGTGTGGCAGGAGACCTCTGATGTCTTGCCCCAGGGATCAATGCTTAGTCTTTTCCTATGCAATTTAACATTTTTATCAATGACTTATAGCAAGGAATAGATGGAATGCTCATCAGATTTGGAAATGACACAAAACTTCGAGGGGATAGCTAACGCAGTGGATGATAGAGTCAGGATCAAAAAAATCCTGACAAACTGTGTACAGCATTAGTCGCATCTAGTAAGATGAAGTTCAGGAAGGATAAACCCAAGTTTTACCCTTGTGTTAAAAAAAAAAACCACAAAACTTCACAGGTGCAGGATCGGGAAGGCCTGCAGTTTGTCTAAAAAAGCCCTGGAGGTCTTAGTAAACTGAATGCCCAATATGAGTGGGATGTGTGATGCAACAGTCAAAAAAAGCTAACACAGCCTGACCTTCATTAACAGAGTCAAAACTTTTGTATTTTTCCCTAGTTAAACCAGATCTGGAATTAAACAAAACAAAACATTTAGTCCTGTTTAAAATCATTGCTAATCTGGTAAGATTCTAGAAGAGGTCCCTCAGGGTAGTGAAAGGCTTTGTGCCTATATTGTATGAGAATGGGTTGAAGGAAGTGGGCATGCTTAATCTGGAGAAGTCTCTGGGAGAGAGACATAGTTATTTTTGAATATTTGAAAAGCTTACATATGGAAGAACTTCTGTTTGTTCTCTTTAGCTCCAGAGGGCAGAACCAGGACGAGTGGGTCCAAGCTGTAAAGAGGCAAATTTAGGCTTAAAGTCAGGAAAAACTTCCTGACAATTAGAACTATCCCAAAATGGAGTGGGCTAAGAGGTGGTGGTTTTCCCCTTATTTGAAAGCTTTAGGCAGTGGCTAGTTGGTCACTTCCTAGGTATGTTTTAGTGGTAATGTCTTCTGGGTTGGACTTCTCAGATCCCTTCTGTCCAATTTTGTAATTCTGTGACCTTAGAAGTTGCAGTCTGAGGAAAATATTCACTGTGTGTTCATGTCTCCCCTACCCTGATCCAATGTTTTTATACAGCTAAAATCCAGTCGAACAGAATATCCAGTGTAGTCTTAAAGAGGAAAAGAAGTTGTAAAAGGGAAACCAGAGCGAAAGACCTAGGGAAGGAGGGAAAGGGCAGTTCTGTTCCTCTGTAATGCATGGTAGTAGTTTGGGAAAAGGGGAAAGGATTTTGTTGAGTGGTTGTATACATTAAATGGCCACCAGTTATGCTTTCTTGGGTCACTGCCTCAGCCAACTGTGGAATAGGATGGAAAAGCATTTATTAAGCTCTTACTGTATATAGGTTATTGGGGGAAAGAGATAAGGAAGATTGCAGAGTTTTCTTTATGGCTAGTTCTGTGTAAAAGTTTTACTTGGGAATAGCAGAATAAGAATGACATTAATATAATTAACCTATATTAAATGAAACAAAAAATTAGTTTACATGAAGACATGTCTGGCAGGCATCTTTGGCATTTCTACATCTATATCTTTATGCATGAAAAACTCTTTGATCATTGGACATGTTATTTATTTGTCTAGATTCCATGACAGCAGAATGAGCAGCTAAACACAACTTCCCATGATCCTTTAAGTGGTTAGAATTTTGTAACTTTGGTTATTGTTTATTTACCTTTTCTAGGTTCCCCTTTGCCCCACTCTGTATTATGTATTAGTAGATCTGTTTTCTTTCTAATAATTAGACAAGCTCATTGGAGCTAGCTGCTTAGTATAACTAACAGCACTATTCACGGTTGGAAAGGTAAAACACAGGAGTGTCAACACAAGGCGTCGCTTCCTCTTTAGGGTCCTAGAAGGGACCTCAGAGGCCATATGAGCCTGACCCCTTCATTTTGCAGAGGAGGAAGCTGAGGTACGGAGAGATGAAATGATTTGCCCCGGGTCAGTCCCTCAGGTAGCAAGGCAGGGTTCTAAACCTCTTGAAGCCCAAATCCTTTCCACTCTACCATGCTGCCTCCCTAACTTCCAAACAATAGTAATTAGATCAATTACTTAAAAAAAAAGCAATTATAGTAAGAAGTTAAGGACCCCAGAATAATCAAATATCATTTCGAAGCATTTATTTACTTACTTTTTGTGTGCAGGTTGGGGTTAAATTTTCATGATGCACGAAGCAAGGGACAGGCAGAAATTCGTCAATGATGCTCAATATCTGCGGGATATGCAGCACAAGGTGGACTCCGAGTACCAGGTACATGAATAAAGCGAGTCACTGCATATACCCTTCTTGCAATAATAATGTAATGTTAATGTGCGATTGAATGTCATAAAGTAATTGTTCTAGCATGCTGAGGTGTAACTAGATGTACTAGACTGTGAGAAGGTATGAAGAAGTTAATGTGGAAGTGAGCAAGGATGCAGTGTTGGCACAGTGGAGAAGGGACCCAGGATTTAAAGTTAGAGGCCCTGGGTCTGAATTCCCCAGTGCACTAGCCTCATCTCTGTGGTTGTGGTGTCAGCATCAGGAGCCAAGAAGACAAGATGAGGAAAGGCAGATTGAGGGTTCTGTGAGTCGCCCAAGAGAAGAGCTGTGGAAGCTCAAGGAGAGCTTCATGGGGTCCTCCACAAAGATGAGAAAAGGACTTCTAGCACCAGGACCTGCAAGCTACTCCCTTTGCCATGTATGCTCTCTAAATAAACTGGTGAGTGAATGTGTCACAGACTTGTGGGGATGTCTGTTTTTATTATACTATCTCAGTAAATAAATTCCCTTTTTCTTTTTTTAAATTTCTTTTTTGTATTTATTTTGTTAAGTATTTCCCAATTACATTTAATGTGTGGTTTAGGCCTTACTCAGGAGTATTGCTGGCTGTGTCTGTAATACTTCTGGTGTAGGGGAGAGAGAGAGAGAGGGACAGAGAGAGCAAGAGCGAGAGAGAGCGAGAGCTAGAGAGAGCGAGAGCGAGAGCGAGAGAGAGAGAGAGAGAGAGAGAGAGAGAGAGAGAGAGAGAGAGAGAGAGAGAGAGAGAGAGAAATTAAGTTCAAGTGCCAGGGAAACCAGGGAGACCTGAATTCAAGTGTTACCTCTGACACAAAAAGGTTGGGTGACTCATGGCAAGTGATTTAACATCTTCATGCTATGTGCAACTCTCTTAAGAGGTGCCAATCAGCATTGGTAGAAGTTTTCTCACCTAGGAGTTCCCAGAGCTAATGATACAGGTCTAGTCTCTATCCCTTCATAAAGTGTATGTACTTATATTGAATATTTCAATAAATACCCTTTTCTAAAAGCTAATTGGATGACCATCTGATATCAATTGATAATCATGCAGGGAAACAAACTAGTTCAGACTCTAGCTAGAGTATAAGAAAGGTGCTCCACCCTTCTCTTTCCCTTCCCTTCCTGCCCTGCCTTAAGACTAACATTAGGATCAAGAGGATATTTAGTGACTACCTAAGCTAGCAACTGTTTCTATTCTGGTCAGAAACTCTGAGGGTCTTCCCCTTCCAGACTGATTGTTTTGTGAAGGCAAACTAGGCCATCTTTTGCCTCAGTTCTGACCTACCCTTCAATTTCTGAGTGGGCATTGCCTCAGACAAATTGACATTTGTGAAAGACCTTAGCTTATAAAGGCCAAGGTCTCCCACTGCATTGGGTGGGGGAGGACGGCAATCACCAGCCATCCTGACCTATGCCTTGCCACTGGACTCCAGTGACTCTGGAGCAGAATGAGGCTGATGACTTTGCCCAGCTTTGCCTCAGTTAAATCCAATTCACTTGCAAATCACCCTCCTGATGTCCTTGGTCCCCCTCAGAGAACAAATGATGAACAACAAGCCTGTGGGGGTTAGGAGAATGGACCTGGGCATGTACCACATGTGGGTGGGGCTAGTTGGAGATAAACATTAGGCTCTTGTTATTTGCAGGAACCCACCAGAGAGCTTTTACACCTGGGACTTTTGTTATTGGATAACCTTGTTTTCAGGATTTTTTCCTCTCTTTTTAGATTGCAGTAATATAGTAGCCAATTTTCTGATGTGTTTCCTTAAAAGTCAGACCAGTTTCTTTGTCAGAACTTTTGTTTGAATGCTTATGTAAATTATAAGAAGGCAAAGCAACAAGTATTTATTAAGCACTTACTATTTGCTATGGCCCTGATAGCCCTTAAACCTACAGTACTAACACTAGAACCTCAAAGAGACGAAGCAGCCATCTAAGCTCTGGGGACCTGACCTGCTAGTGTGAATGGGGGTTTGGAGAGTAGCCCCAGAACATGTGCTATGCTAATATTAGTAAGAAAGGACTTAATCTTTTCAAATATAATTATGTCAAGATGTGTATAGACTTGTATATATTATTGGCAAACAATTAACAAGCATATATCAAAGCTTGCTGCGTGTCATATAGTGTGCTGAGTGCTGGGGTTACAAAGACAAAATTAAAACAGTCTGTACAGTATTCATTTTCATTTACAGAGGAAGAAGAACAGCACTTAGAGTTTAAAGAATCCTAATAGCACAATGTCCCTATACATTATGAAAAAGGTCATAGAGACTATAAACCAGACCTTACCAAATGCCTAGTTTAGTTGGCCCTAGCATATCTAAACTTGACTTGTTGTTAATGAGCTGGGCAAAAATAGTCTTTCTGAATCTTGTGCATAAATGATTCCTGGTATTTCTTAAAATAAGTTAAAGTGGTAGCAAAGTTTTTCCAGGTCTACATGTTAATCAGCCAGAAGGAAAAGCAAAACCAATCTCATGTTATATTGAGATTTTCCCTTTTGGTGACTGGGTGGGACTCTTCGGGAAAAACAAGAGGAAATAAACATTTAATGGCATGTTACATGCTATTTCAGAATCTGGCAAATACTATATAATTATGTGCCATCTTAGAATTTAGTTATCGTACTCTAGGCTGCTCTTGTAGTCTTTCTGTCTCTTTTTGTTATGTTTTCCTCCCAACATGTTAGTGTAACTTGAAGTGGAATTTAGTCATTAATGTTCACTACAAAGCTTGAAGAAAAATTGTCCTTAATGCTTCAAAATTATTTTTTCATAATCTATCAAAATCCCCTGAGATGCAGGGCTCTGATAGATGAGCTTTTGGTTTATCTTATCCAGAAACAGGTCTCTGTGCCATTTCCCAGACATGTCTACATGATGCTGCCTCCATTCTAGCCACTATCCCCATCTCCTCCTCACTAGAACCCTGGACTCTGCCCCTGGGGCCCTGGAGGTGAGATTTTGCCATATCTTGTCCAGAACCAGGCTTCTGTACCACTTCTCAGCCATCTCCACAGCATGTCACATCTAAACTGCATTTTTTCCAGCCTCCTTTTATTTATTGTCTTTCATCATTAGAATATAAACTCCTTGAGGGCAGGGGCTATCTTGCTTATTTGTATTTGTATCCCCAGTGCTTAGTACTGTACCTAGCACTGGTGCTAGGTAAACATTAAGTGCTTACCTAGTAAGCACTTATCAAATTACCTTTCTCTCCAATATATTCAGAATGGTTAGACACCTAAAAGTACCATCCACTCCCTTTCATATGTCACTTATCAGCCCAGTTCCATAATATACAGATCAAAACCAGAAAGACATAGGCCCAAAATGGGAAATTCTAGAATGCTTTACACAAGAATAGGAGAATCTTAGCTGCATCTCTTACAGTATTGCTCACTTTAATAATATCATTACTAATTTAAAGCCCAGACTAGATAACATGTTACATGCAAATATAGCAAGAGCAAACAATAATAATAATAATAATCAACATTTATTAAGTGCCTGCTATGCTACAAGCACCGTGCTAAGTGCTGCGATACAAAGAGAGGCAGAAGATTATGCCTGCTCTCAAAGAACTCACAGTCTAATAGGGAAGACAACATTCAGACAACTATGTACATACAAGCTATATACAAAATAAATTGAAGATAGTTAGTAGATGGAAATCACTAGAATTAATGGGGATCAAGAAAGGCTTCCTGTCGAAAGTAGATTTTAAACTGGGACTTGAAGGAGGCCAGGGAAGCCAAATGAAGAGGTAGAGCATTCCAGGCGTGGGGGTCAGTCAATGAAAATACCTTTAAATTTATTTTTTATATTTATTTTGTTAAGTATTTCCCAATTACATTTAATGTGTGGTTCAGGCCTTACTCAGGAATATTGCTGGCTGTGTCTCTGCTACTTCTGGTGTAGGGGAGAGAGAAAGAGAGAGAGAGAGAGAGAGAGAGAGAGAGAGAGGAGAGAGAGAGAGAGAGAGAGAGAGAGAGAGATTATTAAGTTCAAGTACCAGCCTTGAAATCAGAGAGGAACAGTAAGAAAGCCAGTGACACTGTATCACAGAGTATAGGGGACAGCATAGTATAAAATATAAGAAGAGTAGAGAATGTGTGTGTGGGGAATGTTATGTTATGAACAGTAGGTTGTTCCTTCCCAAAAGGCTTCACCCTTCCTAAAATATATGTGGATTTTGAGCAACAAAATCTCTCAAAATCTGAGGCCATTTACCATGAACTCTGTCTTCTGTCCCTCTCCCCTATTTTACAACCCCTTGATATCATCCTCCATTTTCTTTTCTTTACTCTGATATTGGATAAAGAAGTTCTTCTCTTTACCTTTAAACCCATCCTTTCCTGTCTTTTCCAGATAATTTTCTGCACAATCATCCCTGCCACCAGTCTTCAATCTCTCCCTATCTACTTGCTGCCAACAAACATGTTCAATTCCCCTCTACAATTAATAAACCTTCAGTAGGCCCTACCATGCCTTCAAGCTATTATCCTATATTCCTCCTCCCTCCCTTAGTCAAACTTCTAGAAAAAGAAGTCTATACTTGCTGCTTCCAGTTCTTCTCCTCTGCTCATTTTTCAACCCTTTTCAGTCTGGCTTTTGATATCATTAAACTGTAATTCCTCTTTCCAAAATTATCAATGATCTCTTTATTGTCATATCTGATCAATTCTTCCTAGTCCACATCTTAATTGACCTCTTGATGGTATTTGACACACTTGACTACTCTTTCCTTCTAAATAATCCACCATTTCAGGGTTTTCATGATGCTGATCTTTCTTAGTTTTCCTTATGCCTGACAGCTCCTCAGTGTTCTTTGCTGGATTTTCATCCATTATACACTCCTTAACTTTAGGGGTAATCCAACACACTGTCCTGAGAATTCTTCTCTTTCCACTTTCTCTCTTATTGACATCATCAGTTCTTACGGGTCTATCATGTCTCTCAACTCCT